GAGAGAGAAGATTTAAAAAAAATAAAATTGAAAGCCTCTCATTACATTGGATGGTGATAGTGCCATAGAAAGATGAAGCAGAGGAGGAGACAGGGGAGGCCAGCCATGGGGCGTGAGGGGTAGCCCCACCTAGTGGAGGCCTGGTAGGGACCAGCCACTTTTTTCTGCTGCCAAATCTATTGTGACTTTAATAAAGTGAGAAAGGAAGCCAGTCGCAGCGTCACCTGGGTTATCAACACCTGTGTGATTATCCTGGGCACCCGCCACAGTGAGCCTCTGCCTCCTGCTGGTCCTCATTGGCGGGGGGGGGGGGGGGGGGGGGGAAGATGTGACCCCTCCCCGGCCTCTGTCACATCTTTCAGCTCCTGTTCACCCCTCCCAGCTGCCTGTGCCCCTGTTATTTCTCTGGTCCCAACTCATTGTTGGTTTTTACCTTGGGGAAAAAAAAAAAAAGAATCTAAGCATGGAAACCTCTTAATACAAACCAGATGAGGGGCTGATAAAAATGTTTTTCCCGCATCAATCACCCGAGTCCTTGCTGTGCTGAGAATTTGGTAAGCCCTCGTCGGCTCTACCAAGAATCTCTTCTAGACTGCCTGGCAAGACGCAGGAAAACAATGCTGCCTTCTGTGTGTTTAGCAGAGCACCTTTTCACAGGCATTCACCCCACTCCTGCTTGGGTCCAGGTGGGGTCTGGGGGTTGGCCTGTGCTGCTGTGCCAGTAGGGGGGTGGTGGCGATGCTGACCTTCTGCAGTGGGGTGAGATGCAGCCCTTTGCATCCCCCTCCCTGCCGGGGAGTTGGCCTGGGCTCTGTGCAGAGCGTAGCTGGGCCTCAGATGGAAGGGCTGAGGAAGGGCTGGATTCGGACCAGGTGGAGTGCAGGACCCAGTGGAAGTCCCTCCCTAAATCAGACTTAGGAAGATGGGAGCCATTGGGCACCCATGGGGGCCTGGCCCTGGGAAGGGGCCCAGCAGACCCCTTTCCCCTCCTGAGGCAGAATGCTCTACAGCCAGGCAGGGAGCTCAGCCCAGAAGCCAGGTAGTCAATGGCATGAGGCACTTTGTAAGCTGGGAAGCTGCTGTGATGGTGTACCTGCTGGCCCAGCCAGGTTTGGAGTCCTGAGGCCACACACCCAGCCCTGACTGCCGAGGGAGGCAGCCATGAACACAGAAAAGGGCCAGGATGCAGTGTGACAGGGCTGCAGTGGAGGTGGGGGACACAGGGCGGGGCCTTGACCCCGCCAGGGGCAGTTTAGGGTGCCAATCTGCCTAAGATGTCCCCTCCTCAGTAAGAAAAATAGGCATTAGCAATGGGGGCAAAGAAGGGTTCTTTTCAGCAAAATAAGAAGAAAGCAGGTGATAAGAGCTGAGAGTCACGCCGGGTGCATGGGAACACAGAGGTCCCTGTGGAATGCGGAGCTGCTGGGAAGAGCTTGCCCAGGCCCTGGCCTGCAGGTGAGGGGGCCAAGGCAAGGCCACTGGGGAGGACAGCATCCGTGCAGCTGGAAAGGGGTTGGATGGAAATGGGTGGGGGTAAGGTCACAGGGCAGCAGCAAGCCCACAGAGACCCCTGAGGGGTACCGCTGGGGCTGGGAGGCCTGAATTCAGGACGGGGGAGGATGATCAAAGTTCCGGACCACTCCTCTAAGCTTCTAGAACTATGCTGGCCTATATGGCAGTCACTACTCCATGTGCCTATTTAAAGTTGTTTTTTATTTTTTTTAATTGAGATTATAACAACATAAAATTCACCATTCAAAGTGTACGACTCATTGGTATTTAGTATAGTCACAGACTGTGCAGCCGTTACCACTGTCTGATTCCAGAAAGTTTCCATCAACCCAAAGAGAAGCCCATGCCCCTCCCCTAGCCCCAGCCCCTGGCAACCCCGCATCTACTTTCTGTCTCTGGATTTGCCTGTTCGGGACATTTCCTGTGAGTGGAACTACACACTGCGTGGCTTTTTTCACCTAGCACATGTTCAAGGTTCATTTGTGGCTATTTTAATTTAAAAAGTTAAATGGAATATAAAATCCATTTATATCCAGTCCTTCGGTCACATTGGTCACATTTCAGGTGCTCCACAGCCACCTGGGCTTTTAGTTTCCATGAGGATTGCTCAGCGGACGTTTCCATCCATGCAGAAAGGTCTCGGGCCAGCACGGCTCCTGGCACCTCAGTGCATGGTGAGGACGGGGAGGGGGAGGAGGCGGCCTCGAGCAGGGCCACCAGACCCTGCTGGGCCTCACCCTGCTCACCAGATGGCCATGGACTCATGGTCCCCTTTTCAGATCACAGGAGAATATAAGGAAACCCACCAATGATTTTTGCTATTTCACAACCTCAGGAAAATCTTTGCCTTGTTGAGGGATCAGCCTCCCTGGCCAGCCCAACACTGGGCCGCTTGGATTTCCGCTGGAGCTTTATCAGCCCAGTGTGAGGCTGGTGTCTATCTGCAGCCTTCAGAGGCTCTGAGGGGCCGCTGCGTATGACTCTGATTAATCATGATGGAAAAACAAGTTAGCTGTTGCTACATAAACACAGCTTGGGACACATGATTTTTTCAGGGGGAAGGAAAAAAATGAAAAAGGCTTTTGTGTAATTTCATCATCTATAGGCAACCATTATTAGCATTCTTGTTGATAGCCTTCAAGAGTCAGATTTTTGGGAAGTAAGTTAGGGGACACATATAGAAACATTCATATATGTATATTAAAATACATGTACATATGTGTGTGTAACTTTAAAAGATCAATTCATGGCTGGGCTTGGTGGCTCATGCCTGTAATCCCAGCACTTTGGGAGGCCGAGGCAGGTGGATCACCTGAGGTCAGGAGTTTGAGACCAACCTGGCCAACATGGTGAAAGCCCGGCTCTACTGCAAATAAAAAAAAAAAAAAAAATTAAGTGGATGTGGTGGCAGGCACCTGTAATCCCAGCTACTAGGGAGGCTGAGGCAGGAGAATTGCTCGAACCCGGGAGGCGGATGTTGCAGTGAGCCAAGATGGCACCATTGCACTCCAGCCTGGGCAACAGAACAAAGCTCCATCTCAAAAAAAAATAAAAAAAGTAAAAAATAAATAAGTAGATCAATTTAAACCCACAGCTTTTCTTTCATTCCTGACAATTTACAACAATCTTTATAAAGAGAAATTTGGGAACTCTCTGGAGGCACTGGGCATACAGTCAGCCCTCTGTATCAATAGGTTCTCTGTCTCTGGGTTCCAATCAACTGTCAGTCAAACATAATAGGAAAAAATGGGTAGTTGTATCTGTATCAAACACGTACAGACCTTTTTTTCTTGCTGTTATCCCTAAACAACTGTGTAAAATGCAGTGTAACAATGGTTTACATAGCATTTGCATTGATTAGGTATCATAATCTAGAGGTAATTTGAAGCATATGGGAGGATGTGTGTCGGTTATGTGCAAATATGACATCATCTTCTATAAGGTACTTGAGTATCCATGGATTTTGGTATCTTTTGAGGGTGCTGGAACCAATTCCCCACAGATGCCAAGGGATGACCATACTTACATTACTACATAATAAAACCAGTTTCTACATGTTCACTTCTTTTCTAAAAGTTCAAGTGATGTGCACAATGTAAAACTAGCAATAGACAGCTGACTTGGACTTTTGGAGAAGAGAGAAATTCGGGTCGAGAATGCTTTTTTAAAAAACATTTTAGGCTGAGCGTGGTGGCTCACGTTTGTAATCCCAGCACTTTGAGAGGCCAAGGTGGGTGGGTCACGAGGTCACGAAATCAAGACCATCCTGGCCAATGTACTGAAACCCTGTCTCTACCAAAAATACAAAAATTAGCTGGGTGTGGTGGCATGAGCCTGTAGTCCCAGCTACTCAAGAGGCTCAGGCAGGAGAACTGCTTGAACCCAGAAGTCGGAGGTTGCAGTGAGCCAAGATCATGCCACTGCACTGCAGCGTGGGCAACAGAGCAAGACTCCATCTCAAAATAAAATGTGTGTGTGTGTGTGTGTGTGTGTGTGTGTGTGTGTGTGTGTATAAAATGGAAAAATTCAGATGTTTGCACAAGCAGAATAGTGTAATGAACTCCCATGCATGGACCCCACATCCAGCTTCAAGAAATTCCAGCTGTATCTCATCGACGCCCCCTTCCCCTTCATTTCTCTGATTTATGACTTAGTTGTCTTTCTTCTAAAAAGCCTATAGCTGGATTTTGGGTTCTATCCAATCAACAGTCTTTGCCTTTTTACTGACAAGCTCATGGCTTCAGCTTGTCCCTGGATTTTCTAGGCTTCTTCGTTAATCCTTTTTATAAATAAAACTGTTATCCATCTGAGCATCAGTCACAGGACTGCTCCCTTGTGTCTGCGGCTCTCCCCTCCACTCAGTTCCCATCCTGTCAGCCTCTCTTTCTCTTCTGGATCTTAGCTAATTGATGGGAGTGGAGGTGGGGAACAGTCTTTGCTTTGGAATCTGACCACCCTTTGATCCACTTGTGTCTTAAACCATGTGCTGGTCCTGCGTGTTTCCTTCCCATGTGGTCTTTATGTGGCTGACTTCTAGGGCCTTCTGTGTTTGAGAATGTGTTGGTCATGCCCTCACACTTGGATGACAGCTGACTGGATGTAAAATTCAGGGTGCAAAGTTCAGTACTTAAAACTTCAGTGCTCACTTCAGTACTCAAAACTGTGCCTTCTCCCCTGTGGCCTTACAGTCGGCGTGGCTGTCTGAAAGTGTGGTTCTGTTCGAGTCTTGCTCCTTCGTCATGTTCTCTGCTCTCTGGGGACTTTTAGGCATCTCTCTATCTCTGATAGTCCTCAGTTGCACTTGAATGTGTTGCAATATGGATTTTTTCTTCTATTTGGAATTCTATGGGCCTTTTCAATCTGGGATCCTTCATCTTTCTTTAATTCTAGAAATCAATCTGTATTATTTCCCTCCATCATTATCCTTTCCTCCTGTAGGTGTTTTGTCAGTCTGTGTACTAAATTGTAATAAAGCTGATTTTTTTTTCTTTTTTATTTGTTAATTGTTTATTCATCAAGAGAAACTATTTCTTAGCCCACATATTCATTTGTCATAGTTCAGGAACCCGAGTCAGTGACAAACTTCTAGGTAATTCAACCTGAAGAAATTCTTTCTATTCCAAGATCACTTTATACTACGAAAGATACCAGCCTTCTTCATCTCCTCAAAATCTTTCTCGGGACTGTAATTTTTGTAGAAATCTGCATATGCCTTCTTTTTTGGTTCAGCCACACCAAACTTATAGAGAGCTGCAACCCCCAGGGATACCAGGAATGCTCCAACCATATGAATTCGCAGACGCCTGGCCAGAAGGCCACGCATCTGAGGTTTTACCAAAACTTCAGAAGCCATGGTAGTTACTGTCCTTGATACGTACGCCAACCTCAACACCAACGTCCTTTCAGACTGATGGAAAAATGGTTGATTTCTTATTTAATAAAAATAATAGGAAAACAGGGAACCTGTTTCCTATGAACAGGGTTGAGAATCCTTGGCATATCACAAGCCATCTTCCTTTTGTTAAATAAATTAATTGTTCCTGAAAGGCTGCCCTGTCTGAGCTTTATGTATGGATCTTCTCTTCCCTACTCCTCTGAGCCCAGCATGGTAGGTCCTGCTTTGCAGATCAGGGTTTTCCGGCATAGGGTGGACAAGGCCTGTCCAAGGTCACACAGCTAGACTTGGGGCAATGATGGGGTTTGCACTTCGGTCCTCCTGACTCCACTGTCAAACCTCTTTATTTTTATTTATTGAGACAGAGTCTTGCTCTGTCACCCAGGCTGGAGTGCAGTGATGCGGTCTTGGTTCACTGCAGTCTCTGCCTCCCGGGTTCAAGCGATTGTCGTGCCTCAGCCTCCTGAGTAGCTGGGATTACAGGCACTTGCCACCAAGCCCAGCAAAAAAAATTTTTTTTTTTTTGTATTTTTAGTAGAGATGGGGTTTTGCTGCATTGGCCACGCTGGTCGCGAACTCTTGACCTCAAGTGATCCACTTACCTCAGCCTCCCAAAGCACTGGGATTACAGGCGTGAGTCACCTCAGCTGGCCTTAAGGCTCTTTAATTGTCAGGGGACTCCTGAGGGGGAAGTGCTTCAATTCCTTTGCTGAACCACTTCTGCAGAGGGCTGGTGAGCGTGGCTGCAGTTCCGACATGGCCCATGATGGAGGAATGTTTGCACTTAGGACAGTGTCTCCCACCTGACGCTCCAGCAGGTCTGGGATGGAGACTGCCCTCTGGCCAGTGACAGCTGGTTACAGCTCACTATGTGGAATCGATAGCACCAAGATGGTGACCTGGCATCCTTCTCAGGCCACAACACCCCTCCTGCATTTATCATCCTGAGTCTGTTTGCTCCATGTCTTCACCCACCTGGTCTTCACTCATACAAAGGTAGCCTCAGGCTGGCAGGGGCAGTCTGGGCAGTGCCTCGAAGGCTCCCTTGATACCTGCCAGTGTCCTGGACAGAAGCACAGGCTGCTGCTCTGGGTTGAGTGATGCCCCATTTCCCACATCCCACCGGCCGGAGCATCTGAGGCTCTGCTGGGTTTGGCAGTTTCACTTCATCCAGAGTAAGACGCAAATGCAATCAGACCCGAAGTTTAATTTTGGGGATGTGGCACTTCCTATGCCTATTCTATGCCAGGTGCAGCTAGTTATGCAGGGCGTACTTGTAACTGCACCCGTGGTGAATGGGGCATGTCACATGTGTCACACTTTCTGTCCCGTGCATGGACGTGAGACCCCTGAACAGCCCCAGGGACACCACAAAGCAGGTGTTGTTAACAAATATTGACAGGGCACCTACTGTGTGGTCGGCTCAGAGCTGGGCACTGAGGAGATGGTAACACAACAAACAGCGATTCCCCCACCCCATGGAGCTTACGCTGGGGTTGGAGGAAACAGGCCATACATGAGGGTTTAACAGGTCCAAAGGTTGGCATGTTATGAAAAAAGGTAGGCAGGTGAGGGAAGTCTCGAGTGCCAGGTGCGGGTGAAGGTGGCAGTTTTCTAAGAGAAGGTGGCAGGTGAGCAAAGGCGTGATGGAACTGAGGGGCTCGCCAGGTGGCAGTCTGGAGGAAGACAGTCTCCAGAAACAGGAACAGCCAGGGGACGGGTCCTGAGGTGGGTGGGGTGCCAGCTGCTTCAGGGGCAGCAGAGGCTACTGTGGCTGAAATGGGGGTGAGGGAGAGGGATGGGAGACGAGGTCAGAGACAAAGATGAGGTCAGGGATGAGGTCAGGGACAAGAAGCCCAGGTCCACCAGCAGACCGGGGCAGCCTGTGGGCAGGCAGGCCACACCTGAGACCCTGTGCTGGCTCCCCAGCCTCACCCATCCAGAGCCCAGATCAAAGCCCAAGGCAGAGCCATTCGTGGAAAACATCTGTCTCTCCACACTTGTCATGTTTACTTAGAGATTTTGAAGACAACAACTTCACTGAGGTACCCCTTTGCTCACATCAGAAGAGCCGGGCTAGGCAGGCCCTTCCTTCTGTGCTCTTGGGTGCCCAATTGGAGCAGGAGTCCAGGAGACAGAACACCGAAGTGCATTCTGCACGGAGGTCTCAACTCAGGGAGGCTGAAGGAAGTGTTGACCACCCTGTCTTGGGTTCCCCAGCCAAGGTTCTTATTCTCCTTGGAAAGACCTGACAGAGGTCAGGCTTGGTGGTAGGCACCTGTGGTCCCAGCTAGTCGGGAAGCTGAGGTGGGAGGATCACTTGAGCCCAGAAGTTCAAAGCTGAAGTGAGCTCATCGCACCCCTGTAATCCAGCTTGGGTGACAGAGACTCTGTCTCAATAATTTTTTTTTTAAAAAGACCCAGTGGGGCAGACACTGGACAGGGAGTGGGGGATGCAGCTGGGCCCTGCTCCACCGTCAGGAGCCATGTCCCCAAAGGTCAGCCCAATTGTCTCAGCTCAAGGGACTCAGTTTCCCCATATTCAGAATGGAGGAAATAGAGCTGGTGGGTATGGTTGGGGTGAGGTCTAAACCAGGTGATCTCTGCCTGGCAGGACAGCCACCCCTGCGGAGTCTGACCTTGAACCCAGACTCCCACCTCAGTGCCCTGAGCCCGTGAACATCAGCCTTGCTGCCTGGCCTCACACTTCACTCTTGCAAAGAGAACAACAGCATGGCTTTCTGGATGGAAAGTGGGAGTAATCACTTTAGAAAAACCAGGCCTTGCCCCTGCCCACCTCCATTCCGGTGACCAGACTCCTCACTGCCCCTGGGAGGGCTGAGGACTGGAAGCCCCAGTTTGCCATCAGCCAAACAAATGCAGAGCCTTGGTGGGCATTCCCTGTATCCCCCGGGACCATCAGCTTCTCCTGAGAGAACCTGAGGCCACTCCCTACCTCTGCAGCAGCCCCTGGATTTCCGAAAGATCCCCAGATGATTTGCATGCACGAGGGATTTGAGAAGCTCTGACCAAAAGGAGCAGCCCCCACTGTGGGCTTCAGATCCTTCGAGACCGGATTGTAGCTGGAGTCATATGGAGCTGGGCTCTTCAGCCTCTGGGGCAAAAGAAGAAGTGAATGTTAATTGCCAAAAAGACCAGCCTTTATTTCCCTCTGTACCACTCCCACCCTGGAGACACCAGCAAAGCTGTTCTGACACATGCTCCTTGGAAGATTGCTTTTCTTATGTGAGCACATTTTTTGGTGAGGCTTTGCTGGTCAGAGAGGTGTCCTTGTTCTCAGCCAGATGCATCCCTGCATCAAGCTCCCTGCCTAGGAACTTTCATAGGTGCCTTCCTCATGAGAACTCTGTGAGGAGGGGTATGATGCCCATCTCATGGGCATGTGAGATGCCCAAGGTCAAACAGCTTAGAGATAGGCAACACCAGAATTTATCTCCCTAACCCACTCATTCATTCATCATTGACCCCCTCATCCATCTACTCATATCTTCAGCCCCAACAGCCACCCCCCACCACCCATCCCACCACCTAATCATAAGTGATTGTTGCAGAATCACATTTTAGGTGGGATTTTTATTCTTGCATAAGGCATACATTTTACATGTTCCAGATCACTCCTGAAAATCCCTCAGGCTACCCGTAAAACACAAGAACGCTTCATCTGTCAGCCCAACAGAGTCAGTGTTTGCTCCAGTGCTGGGGAAAAGCAGCTAGAGCTGACATTCAGGAGTATTTGAGTTCAAGAAAGTCCTCATCACCAAACTCCAGAACCCACCTGGGGGCTCCCATGCCACACAAGGCCATGGGAACTGAGGCCTGTTGAGGGGCCGGTGGATTCATGTTCCCCAGCTCACATTTACTCCAGTGCATAAAGGAACATCCTCAGCGCTTTCATCATTTTTCTCTTATTTTCCCCCACACATGCCGGCTGGCTGTGGGTCAGTGAGACTGAATCTCCACTGCACAGCCAATAATGGGCTCATTCCCACATCCCACACCATCCCCTCATGGCCTCAGCTGCCTGCTTGTCAGTGCAGGATCTCAGGCTGTAATAACAAAGAGTACAATGCCTTGAACAAGGGAGGTGATTTTCCTGCTCTGCTCTGAGGCTTGAGGATCTCAGTTCAGGAGTCTTAGTGCAGAGAGACAGAGTATTGGACAGGGCAGGTCCAGAGAAAGTTTTCAGGATGGCAGAGGCTTGAGAAACACACACCCTATAAAGATAATTCTGGAAACTGTGGTCGTGGCTTTGCCTGTCCACCTCTTAGGAGCTTTTGTGCAGGGTGGTTGGGTTTGTTCTGTATGGCCCCAAAGCCCCAGACTAGTGCTGAGTGGACCTCAGGCAATGGGTTTTATTTCAGTGGAGGAAGAGCTTTCTAATAGGCAGAGCTATCCAAAGACAGCATGAATCTGTCTTTGAGACTTTGAGATAGTGAGCTCCCAGTCAGGGGAAGTATTCAAGTGGAGGACACATGAGCATTCCTCTGGAGGCAGGGAAGGAATTCCTGCCTAAAGCAGGAGCTGTGAATTCATGACCCATAGGCTCATGCAGCCCTGAGCTTCTGTTTCCAAGCCCTAAGACGTGTTGTTGGTAGAGACAAGGCTCAGCCCCCATCTCTGGCCTTTGTTCAGCTCTCTGTCATAGTCTCATCAGGTGTAAACGTAACTGAGACAGATTCCTGTTAAGCCAGATGGGGAAAGTGGCAGAGGATTCTTCTTATGTGGGCACTTGGTCCCCTCTCTTCTGACGCCCTGGATCTGCATGTCCTCAGCTGGTCTCTGTTCCCCGGGAGCCCCCTAACCAAATCATCTGGAGCTTAAATACATGGTTCCCACCAAACAAGCCAACTTCTCTACCTGGTGTTGGCCAGCGACCCAGGAGCAACCCCAGTTCTTGGGGAAGCAACCTGCTGCACTGCTGTCATTAAGGGGCTTCCAGGATGAGGGCACCAGTGCCCCAGCTTGCACCTGAGCCACAGCACCGTGCTCTTTGTGGGAAGT